TATATGTGCTCGTATATACAAATGGTATATTATTTTCCAACGACGATGGAACGCATCGTAGGCTTTCGAACATTCCTGTAATTAAACTAATGTCAGACAACGGGGGTAGTGGATGATGAAGAGACGAGTTTGTAGGAGGGACGGAGGTGCTAGCTGGTTGGGTGGTTCACCCATCCTGCTGCACGTTATGTTACGTAACGTAACGTTACATTACATATCAGCTGCCATGTTATTTATTCGTCGGTCTCTCGGTGGCATCGGAGCTGGCACAAGGATTCCCGCGGGCCGAACAGAATACTCATCCTCGGATAGCCCCCAGCAACGCGTTTTCGAAACTACCAACGCACACGAATGCGATATATATATATATATATATATATATATATATATATATATATAATGCGGTATATATACGACTCCCACGGGTTCATTCGAGGATATATGTGTGATACGTATACGTATATATTTCTTTATATGTCTATCTGTCTTTCTCAATCCTCTCTCTCTCTCTCTCTCTCTCTCTCTCTCTCTCTCTCTCTCTCTGTATAAATGTGTGTATGTGTGTGTATATATGTATGTATGTATATATGTATGTATGTGTTACATATATGAAGTTCTATAAGGCGAAAGGAAGACGCAGTCTCTGGAGGCTTAGCCGCAAGTGTCGAAGACAATTTTCTCGTCTCTCTATCCAGGATCGTAGACATTTCAACCACCATACTCGTTTTCTTCTCTTTTTTTCTTTTTCTTTTTATATCCTTTTCTTTTCTTCCTTTTCTCTTTTTTTTCCTCCCTTTTTTCTTTTTCTTTTTTTTTTTTCTTTTTTTTTTTTGGTTTCTTTTTCGCCTCCATTACGTATTATACGTGTTCTCTCTTACGCCGGGTATATTGCACGTGGGAAGTGTTAGGTGCAGATGATGGTGCCTGAGTTTTTTTTTTTACGTTATTCATGTCTCTTCGATATATGTAGAAAGTCATGTATCGTGTCACTTTATCTAAGTTAATTTCGAATCAGTTTTGTGATAAGTATAATTATTTAAAGAAAGAGAGAATGAAAGAAAGAAAGAAAGAAAAATATGATTTCAAATGTATCATTTGTCGTAAAATAAGTGGGAAGTCATGTTTCTTTTTAAATATTAAATATTATATTTAAGAATTAACTCGTGTATGTGTGTGTGTGTGTGTTTTTTTCATTCAATATATTTTATTATTAGAAACATTTTTTAATATGTAATAAATTTTTTATTATTTGCTATATTTCTTGAAATGATACTATTACTAATATTAATTATATAAAATTGTGATATATATATATATATATATATATATATGTTTTCTTTTTCAAATTGTTTTAAGTGCTATTATTTATTTAAAAATGTTGCATTATGAAAATATGAAATATTTTCAAAATTTGCGTTAAATTACTTGATAGTTTTTTGTTTTGTTTATTAGCGTTTATGATTAAATCATTTATTTAAATATTTAATTTTTTTTTGATATTTCTAATTATTTTTTTTGGAAATACTCATTTATTTAACCCTTTAACTGCGAACTGTTCTGAACTGGAGAGCATTTCGCTTTTGAGCTGTATGTGACCCGCGTATCGCTAGAGATTGAACATACACATCAGACAATCAAAGTAAACAATCAAAGTTTTCGCCGGGCACATATATGCGTCCATAGTTCTATACCGAGATAGCCGCCTATACTGAATGCATATATGCTTCCATAGCAGTCAAAGGGTTAATTTTTTTTTTTTTTTTTTTTTTATTAGAGTTTATGGTTAAATCACTTTTATTTAAATTATGATTAATTATTTATAGATTTGAAAAAACAACAAATAGATAGTCTTTATGAAATAAATATTAACTATTGTCAAATGTTATGATATTAAATATTTTATAGGTCATACTTGAATAATAATAATAGTTTCACGTTATGCATACCTTCTTCCCATCATTGTAATTAACACGGTATGATACATACATTATGTTACATGGTTATGATCAACGTTCTACATACATGTAACGCTCATTCGATGAGTCGATCGTGCGGACAATCGTAATGTAGAACCAATATACGGTGTGTGGTTAATCGATAACTTGCATAACTGATTGTTGTTCAATAATTACATATATATATATATATATATATATATATATATATATATATACATATATTCCAAATATCGATTAATTGTGAGATATTAATCATAATAATTAATGATCCATTGACAATTAAACTTTCGATGAAGAATAATTGTCTATAAAATTTGTTGTCCGTAATGGGGGGAGGGGGGAGGGGAGGGGAGGGGGGGGGGGAGAAGAAAAAAAAGAGAAAAGAAAAAAAAAATAAAGAAAAAGAACAAACAAACGAGAAGAAAAATTTCAATTTACATTAAGCGTACATTTTCGTTCGTTCGTTCGCAAGAAATAAAAGTGACACGTGCGTTCAAATAGAAGTCAAAGTGAGCGAATCGAAACGAAAAAGAAAGTATGTA